AATGCACAAATTCAATTAATTTTTTTTTTTCTCAGCTAAGTGTAATAACATCAAAAAGTTGAATAAAGGCATTGACAATTATTTTAAGAATGTAATATATAATCTAAAGTACAATTAAGATTTATTAGTATCTGAGATTATTAATAATGATTCAATGCATTGAAATATTTTGAAAGCATTCCAGCCACCTTTCCCATAATTGTAAATTTTGTTTCATCAAACTGGGGAAGGTACCATTATTTATGCACTAAGTCATGTCCTCTCCCACTATATTCTTGTAGTCCCTGTGTCAGTTGACACCTTCCTTTATATTCACTACCTTTATTTAGGCCTGGATGTCTAAACTGAAGTTTGACCTGATGTAAATAGTGGCATTCCTGCCTCCTTTGTATCAGCTGCCTGGATTCTCATCGTCCCTGAAAGCAAGTTCTGTGATTGTAATGAATTTCTGTTGCTAAATTTTTGATTTCTGCTCTTTATGGCATTGGTCAATGCATCTCTTGGTTTCCAAAAGAGGTTATGGTACTGACATGTCTAGGGACACCTGGCATGCACTGTCACAGCCAATAAGAAATGCAGGGTGAGATATAAGTGTCCTCTTAGTTTAAAAGTCTTTGGCATTTCAAAAATGGTTTTAATGAGCACCCTGTAATTGCTGATATGAATTTTGCCACTGCTGGTACAAAGAGCATTATCAAACTACCTCAAGTGTCTAGAACCATTGGAGAGAGGTCTGAATGGCTTTAGACCTTGCTGGATTTTGTTTTCATTTTTTCCTAGACTTTCTTTTTTGAGTAGTGGTATTTTTGCACAGACTGGGGAAAGGGAGTATTCGTATTTAATACATTAAAATTAAATATTGTTGTTTTGTTATCACAGGAAAACCTACTGTACCTATGATACCTATGATAACAGTAAACCCTACCACCTGGAGATTGTTAGTATAAAAAGTAAAATTTTGAGAGTGTCCTCTTGCAGAGTTGAAACCTTCCCTGGTATTCAGTACAATGGCACTATAAAGATTTGCTTTCAGTAAAATGAGAAAGGTGGTGGTAGATAGTCTGCTGTGTGGAACAGGAGAGCATTTCTATGAGTTATCTTTTTCTTCTCTCAAAGTTCCTTCATAATATGAAAACTTTGAAAATTTCATTAAAGTACTCTTACTCTTAAAAGTCTGTTGTTCTTAAAAGATCTTGGTATTTGTCTTTTTATTTTTCTTGACTTTCATCCTTTCTTTGCACCAGTCTCAGGAAATGAGCGATTTATATCTCACCCACGTAACAAACAGTTTGTCAGCTTCAGCAGCAATATATGTGTGTAATTTCAGCTGACGAAGGGAAGCCTGGAAGGAATATTTTTGTATGACTTTTTTTTCCTCTTTAGCATAAGCTACGAAGAGTAATTGCATGTAGTTGTTCTCATTCTCCTACCACAGCCCCAGTCTGTCTCAAATAGACCTTACTGATCATTCCTGTTGGTCTGCAACAATACAGTAACTGTTCCAGTAATTTACTGAGTAGTTGTTCAGCACACTGCCTCAGTTTGTTAATATTAAGCAATGTGAACTGCAAAGCCACTACTGCCATGCCTTAGCCTCCATTTCAGATGGAGTCTATTACCAGTTTGAGGAAAACTTTTTTTTTTTTCTCAGGCAGTTGATGTTTGTATTTATAAAATACAAAATAAATGGAGGAAGATCACGAAAACCTCCTTTGCGGTAGTTTTTTTTTCTGATCTGTCTCAGCTCTACGTGCCCTGCAACAGTTGGGATGTACAGCTGCAGGCACTTGTCTCAGCTACACAAAAGATGCCAGAAGCCATTAAGCCCTTTAATGAAGAGCAGCAGGTTTGTTATGCAGGTGTCGTGATTTAACCCCAGCCAGCAACTAAGCCCACACAACCACTCGCTCACTCTCCCCCAGTGGGATGGGGGAGAGGATCAGAAGCATAAAAGTGAGAAAACTTGTGGGTTGAGATAAAGGAAGTTTAATGGGAAAAGCAAAAGGCACACAGGCAAGCAAAGCAAAGAAAGGAGTTCATTTATCGCTTCCCACAGGCAGTCACATCCCCAGGAAAGCAGGGCTCCATCACATGGAATGGTGACTTGGGAGGACAAAGGCCATCACTCCAAATGTCCTCTCTTCCTTCTTCTTCCTCCAGTTCACATTCTGAGCATGGCACCATATGGTATGGAATATCCCTTTGGTCAGTTGGAGTCACCTGTCCTGACTGTGTCCCCTCCCAGCATTTTTGCACCCCCAGCCTCCTCACTGATGGAAGGGGTGAGGAGCAGAAAAGGCCTTGATGGTGTGTCAGCATTATTCACCAGTTACTAAAACATCCCTGAGTAATCAACACTGTTTCCAGCCCAAATCCAAAACATACTCCTGTACCGAGTACTGTGAAGATAATGAACTCTACCGCAGCCAAAACCAGCACAGCATAGTTGGCAATGACATCCTCCCTGTGCGTGCCACTCAGCTGCTCTGGGCACACACTCCACATTTGAAGAACAGTGCTGGACATCTTCCAATGTCACTGAATTTCCTATGCCTTTGCTGCACATGCATGTGTGGTACTGAAGATTTTCATCATTATTACATGGACCCTGAGGCATCACAGTGTCTTGAGAAAAAGATCTTCCCTCACAGCTGGTGATAAATTAATGCAATCATGCTAAAAGTGAGTTGCAAGAAGAGCAGGGAAATGCAGTAATTTGTCTCACTTGTTTTTTTTAATGTTTTCTCATTACTGGGCAGAATGGCAAAACAACATTAAATATTAATTTATCTGCTAGATCATTTCTAATGCTGTATGTGTAGCAGCACAGCAGGAACATGTATATGCAGCTCTATATCAGCTGATTCTAAGTAGTCCATGGGATTATAAGAGTGTAAATATGTGAGCTAAAAACCAAAAAAAAACACTCACATATGCACAAAAAAGGGATTGGGTGTATCTGCACTTTATGTATTTTGTCCTTCAAATAATATAGTAAATACCCTGTGCAAACACTCTTCAGTTGCAGAATAAGTCCATAGTTCATGCAAATAGTAATGTAGTGAGTGAAGACCTGAACTGGTGCCCTTGGACATCACAAGTCTTTTCATTAGTGGACTTACTAAGGTACAAAGCCTAAACCTGGTTTGAGGTCAGATTTGACCTGTAAGATATGTTTCTCGTTTGTTTTCCAAAAAAAAATCTGACACTGCAAATGATTGAATTCCGAAAATTAAAATAAGAAGCAGGCTTTAATGTATTTTTTATGAGCTGAAGAGAACTCATTTCTGGCAAGGCTGATAATTTATAAGGAGGAAAAAGGAGAACTGAGCCACATACAGTGAAAACTTATTGGTTTAAAAATTTCAAAGACACAGCCCTATAATAGTGTCATTTAAAGGCGTTGTTTCTCCAGAAGGCATTTGTCCTCTAGTTTCTCAACCATCACTGGGTATTGCTATGCCAGTTCTTTAAACTATGGTAACATTTGTCCAGTGCAGTGTGTTTCACCCCTGAGCAGCTTTCTGATTTTCAGTAACTGCTCATGTGTATGAAATGGTCCCAGTGGCTTTCCACTTGGTGTTTCTTCTGCTTTAGTTTAGAAAGAAAACATTGTTTTTTCTTCTTAAAGGTAGTAATCTCACAAAACCTTGTTAAAATTGTGTTAGTTGTTATAAGGTAAGACTTGATTGATTGTGCCTTAAACTATATGTATATTTTTAGTTATCTTAAATGATGATTGATACTTCCTCAAAACAAGGGATTCTAGGTCTTTCCCAGTGATAGTATTATTGTGCTGTTTGATCATAACTAGTTAAAGTGTTGCAGATCTAAACGAGGAGTTAATTTGACTTATGCTATCTTTGTATGTCTAGTATATATTTAATGCTATGTTACAGATTTTTTATCTACATAGTCACAATAAGATGTAACCCAAGGCATTTAAAGGTTTACTTTTTATTGTATTGTGCAATCTGGACATGTCAGAGGTGTTAGACAAGATATTTTATAAAGAAGTTGAGGCTTGTTTCTAACAGTGGCAGTAGGGCTGTGAATTATTTAAATCCCTTTATCTGAACAAAGCACAATGAAATATACAATAAATATATAGATAGAAATCCCATTTAAAATTTTATTGAAAATACATAACACATCTTACTTTTATTTAAAAGGGGAAAAAAAAAGTCCATGCATATTCTTTTAAGATATTTCATGCTTAGGTGAAGTGTGTGTAAATGTTGTGTAAGTGTTGTATGTTCCACTGGAGAGATGAATCCCTGTTTGCCTGGAACAAAGTTTTTCTTCCTGGTAAGAGTGGGTTTTGTGCAATAACCTGCTAGTTATCCAGGTTTTAATATTGCACGTTTTGAATATCAGATTTGGGTTGTGTTCATGGCAAAACTCTGTATGTGATGAGAGGAAGAGTCTGTTTTATGAGAGGTGGTTCTACCAATTGCATTGAAGTCTCAGACTGTATGGCTGGCTGGCTGAATGCCTCCTGCACTCACACTGTGAGAAGCCAGAAGTTGTGCAACTGAGGAAGACTTTTCACAATTGTGCCTTCATGGGATGGAGGGCTCATGGCCTTGAATGATTTAGTTTTCCATAGGAGCATTTTGTGTTGTTTTTCTCCTCGTGAGAAAAGAGAGATTGCAGAGAACTAAGCAGGATGCGAAAAGGGAGAATCTCTGCTTCCCATGCAAGTTCTAGATTTGCCTCTTAAGATATGGTCACTGGGCTTCTGTTCCCACCCAAAAAAAATAAATGTTATGTCTGCTAAAACACTGTGATTTCTGCCAATGTTATAGCTCATCTATAAGGAATGTTGAGTAGGAAATTTGGTTCCTCTATGAAGTAACATGATGTGCAAAAATTGAGAACAGCTGTTTGTTGACAGATACCTTCACATGTGCAGACATAGATGTTATAGCTTAAATTAGGCAATTCTCTAGTATGTTTCGCTGTTCCTTACTGACAGTCTGATTTGCATTTTCCAACAGTGGGATGGTGTAGGACCTCTCCCAGACTGTGCAGAACCACCCAAAGGAATCCAGATGCTGTGGCACCCTTCAATAGTCAAACCCTACCTCACACTTCTTTCTGAGTGCTCAAATCCAGATACGCTGGAGGGGGCAGCAGGGGCACTACAGAACTTGGCTGCTGGGAGTTGGAAGGTAGGAATATTAACCCAGTATGTATTTCTTTTTCAATTCAGAAACAAACCTACAGATGACAGCAGATTGGTGATATAAATGTATCTAAATGCCTCTGGTTGTGGAATAACATTCTATTTTCACAGAACTATCTGCAGTCAAATTTGAGATAATATTTTAAGTCCTAGGTAGTCATTCCATAGCAAATGTCAGCATGCAGCAGTGAAGATCACATTGGTCAAGTCAAGTATGAAAAATTGCCACTGAAACCAACACCCAAATGAGGAGAAGCAGTTCTTTATGAATCTGGGTGACAGAGCCATGAAAAATGAGCCAAAAATGCCACCAGTGGCAATCAAATGAAACTGTACTGTTTTGTCACTGCAGAAACTGGTTGACATTCTGTCTCTTAGGAGAAACCAGAGCACAGCAGAGCAAGATATAAATGCTGTGACACCAACACAAATAATCTTTCCATCTACTTTTTTTTTAAAAGTAAGACAATAAAATACATCAGCGATATGGTTAAATATTTACAATGAGCAAGGAAATGCTCAATCAAGCCACTCTGTTCCAGCTAATACTACTTTTCAGTTATATTCAAAAGATCCATTTTTATCTCTTGTGTTATTTGTAGTGAGTAAAAAATTTAAGAAAATACTTCTAAATTTAGAAGAGATGAGTAAAATTCAAGATAACAATGAGCTTGGTTTACTTTTTAGGGCAATTCCTTTGTTACTTTCCTGATGGTAACCTGGTTTAATTGGATGAAAGTACTATCTATGTAATCCTGTGGTGTAACTATAATGCATTGGTTTAACTCTCAGCAGGAATTTTTCTCATTTACTATGAAAACATTCATGTGTGTGGAAATGCAGTTATCAAAGTTATGTCTCAGAATGTATCCTGTTGGAGTATAAGCAGTTGGGCATGTGATATGTAAATACCAATGAAATTAGGCATTCATTTTGAAATCTGAGGGCTGACACAAGAAATTGGGGGTTTTTTCCCATAAAGTTTTATGGGAAGTTGGGTTAGCACATTCACTAGATCTTCAGAGGAATGTGATTTGAGGTTTTTTTAGCATTGTGTTCCACCAAACTTATAAAATGGTTTTGACTGTTGCATTCAATGACATGTGAAATGATTTAACAAAGTATCTGTCCAGTGATTTTTGTCCTATGAAGTGCTATGTAAATACTGTGCCTGAAAATCATTATCCTTTTATTTTTCTCATATTGTAGACCACATCAGATTGTGTAATCCTGGCACAGAAACACAATATGTGTCTTCTATCCATCTGGGAATGGGTGTAGCCCTGGTCCAAATGAGAAAACAATGCATGCATATTTGCCAGGACTTAATAGAAGTGCTAAAATCCAAGTGGTGCCCCTTCTCCCGTTTCTAATAAAGCTGTATACCTGTCATCCTTAGTTGGCAGAAGTGTACAGGGAGAGGAAGGAAGGCTCTGTGGAGCTCTTTGGTGAGCGCTGGCTTAGAAAAACTGTTTTGAACTTTAATACTGTCTGTGCTGATACCATGGGAAAAGCTCAGTTTTTCTCGTATTGCTCTATTTTTCTGAAGATTCACCAATTCTATTACAAGGGATGTGCAGACACAGAATGAATATCCTTAATTTCACATGTCGTACTAGCCATTTTTGTGAAGGGAGTAATCCTCTTTGGGGATTACATAAGCATTGATGTTTCCACCTTTTGACCTCTCCTTTCCACTGCTGCAGTCTAGTTATAAAATAACTGAAATAAAAGATAGAGAACTATTAAAAGAAGAGGTTATTCCTAAGGGAGATTTTAATTTTTTTAGTTCCTCCAAGAAACTGTAATTGTATAAAGAATGGAAAAAAATTTCTTTTTTTTTTTCTTTTTTAACTTGAAATCTTTCAAGAACTTTATGATGGACTGCAAGAGAGAAGAAGAGGAAACTGCATGAAAATAATCTTGCTATTAATATTAATAGCAAAAGCTGTTGTGGGCTTTTTCCAATTAGCATTATTTTAATGCCAGGAGAATCTGGGAATATATGAGGCACACAGTGCACCAGATATGCTCACACACTACTGAAGATACAGTCTCTTCTGAAAAAAATACAGCACAGTTGATGTACTTGCATAATTCTTTCCTGGCTGTTTCACCCTTTTGGTTCCTCTGGTACAAAGCTGTCTAATCCTCTTGGGCGACCACGAGGTAACATTTTTAACACAGGCAGTGCTTAGCCAATGCTATTACAGAGGGAAAGTGAGCTGATAAAAGGAAGCCAGAATAATTTTTTAAAAATAAAAACTTGTGTAGGGGATTTAGATGACTGTCTACCACTAGAATTAACAGACGATATGTGTCTAAATCCCCTAGACTACTTTCGAGAATTTCAGACACAAAAAGAAAGCAGTAGTATGTAGCTTTAAGGATTAATAGCTCAGAGAGGCTAAAAGTTTTCATTATTTCAGGGAATATAGTTTCTCAGTGATACATACCCACAGAATCAACACATGCACATAGTGAAACGTAATCTGTAGAACATTTTTAGCACTGCTTCGGTTGCAGGAATTCCTTCTTAAGCCAGATACTAACATAAAAGAAAAAGCATCACATATGTATATTTGCATACATTTTTTCTTCGTCAAAATTAAACACTTTTGACTAAGTCTTGCCATATATTACCCATCTGCAAAGTAAAACTTGGGGTTCTTTTACAATAACTAATGCAGTACTTGGTCCATGCAATTGTTATTAGAACAAAGACAATCTATAATGAAGCAGAAAGGGAACATTTTGGTGACAAGTATATTAACAGGCCCGAATGAAAGGTTATCAATAAAACAGGATTTTGAGGTATGTGGAAAATGTGAAAATTTAACCTGGCATAGATCACATCTGTGTATGTTTACTTTGGTGTATATTCTGGTTCTGAAGAAGATTTTGACAGTTTATATACAAAGCAGAACTCATTTTGGAAGGGGCTTTCCCAGATGAACACAGACATTGGTTCATCTCACTATTCTGCATCAAGATGTCATTACACAAGGACGACACTGGTATTGGAATCTGAAGGAGAAGAACCATCTGTCATGGAAAATTACATGTGTATCCTTACTGAGATCTCTTCTTTTATTCAGGTTCTTACTTGTTGCACCCATGCAAAATAGAAATGCTGTTCTGGAATAATATCTATGGAGACAGTCAAATATGTAAGCCTTTGGGGAAGATTGGACAAATTAAAGTTTATCACATCACTGTCAGGGTACCACTTCGTTTAAGGTCTAACTGCTGCCTTGCACAGTGACCTGTGACACCAGCACCAGGTCACTGCATGACCCCATTCTGATGGGATTGAAGGCTGCTACTAATACACACTCGAAGTACAGTGCCACCTGACACCCTATGGGTCAGTTTGTCAGCACTGTACCTGCGTACACCTACCACCTTCTGCAGAACTCAGCTGATACTTGAGGTTTCAGAATCACAGAATATTCTAAATTGGAGGGGACCCACAAGGATCAAGTCCAATTCTTAAGTGACTGGCCCAATCAGGGATCAAATCCATGAGCTTGGTGATATTAGTACCATCCTCTAATCAACTGAGCTAATCTCAGAATCTGTACCTGGGATTGGGTGGTTTTCTGTTTAAAGGGCACTCATTGCTTCCCAAAATATTTTATCCTATCAAATCATAATCATGTTAATTTCAAGGTATCCTAAACATCCTGCAAGGCAGAAGGAACAACATGTGAAAAGGATGGCTATTGGTTTTGGCTTTGCTTCCTTTCATTGCCACACTGAGATATTTTCTTCAAAAAACAGACTTTTTCTAATTATACTTAACAGGAACTTGCATTTTAAAGCTGCTTAGAAATATGAAATAAAAATCATGGGAAAATAAATTCCTCATCAATCTTAGCTGGAGTTTTCCCTGAACAAATAAAGTTTGAGACATTGCCTCTGGAAGCAGTGGAAATTCTTTACTTCCCATTAGGCAGTGACTTTTCATTGGGAGCTCTGTTGGTTATCTTTGCAACTTAATTTGGATTTAACCAAATTTGTGCACAAATAAAAAAAAAATAGGAGATTTATTGACTCACTCAGCTGTATTCTGAAGACAATTGCCCGCTTATTAAGAAGTCTCTCCCACTATAACCCTTCAAACCAGAAGTTCTTTCTGCAACCTCATATCATTATTTATTTCAATACCTTGGATTAAAAAAATCACATTGTTTAAAATTACAAGAGTCATTCTGTAAAATATGATCTTTTTATGTGTAGTCTGGATCAGTATTTTTCCTCAGATGGTGGGAATAAAAGTGGCAAGTTCTTTCTAATTTTCACTTTGATCAATAGGCTATTAATGCATTAATCTCCTGAGCATGTAAAAAGTTATATGCCAAATGTCCTAGAGTTAACAATGTCAAGAATCCAAGGTTATGTCCCTTCTGAACAAAATTAACCTCTTGGGAAGAAAGGAAATATTGGGACATTATTGGGATATTATTATGTCTGTCTTTATGTATCTGACAGCTGTATTTAGGCTGATGTCAATTTATTTGCCAGAGACATTACGATAACACTGCAACGCATGTTGCTGTGAACTCATAGAATCATGAAAGAGCTGAGGTTAGCAGAGACCTCTGGAGGTGACCTGATCCAACCCCCTGCTTAAGCAAGGCTACCTAGACCCAGTTGCCTAGGATCACGTCCAAATGGTTTTCTGAATGTCTCGAGGATGGAGACTCTACAACCTCCGCTGGCAACCTGTGCCGGTGCTCGGTCACCCTCACAGTGAAAAAGCAATTCCTGCTGTTCTGCAAAACTCCTGTGTTTCAGTCATTGCCCATTGCCTCTGTCCTACAATATTATCTTTTCTATTACATGCAGCTGATAACACAGTGTTATCACCACAGGCAGAATTTCCTTAGTTTTGTGAAACCCTTAAAAATAATTTCTTCATTCTTGTGATCCTATTTTGTTTTAAAATACTATAATAACTTCTATAGGTAATACCTATCTTTT